CTTGAAGGACTACATCATTTAATGATATCTTTCTGGATTATTACCTTCGTAAATGTAATGAAGATTTCACTGACTTAAATTTATTGCTTAATAAAAGGTGTAGACTGATAGTTCCTTTTTTCCTTTGCAGACAGATGATTTGCAGGATCATATCATTATTTGTGGATTTGGTCGTGTTGGCCAGGTTTTGCCCCCTGCTTCATGAATTGGTTAAATTGATCATTTGACAGAATGATTTTCAAACTTTGGAACAATGAAGCTATTTCCATCTTCTGCCTGTTGAGTTAGTTTTCATCTTAACAGATCATTGCCCAACTTCTCTCCGAGCGACTGATTCCGTTTGTTGCACTTGATGTGCGAAGGTATGAATCTCTTTTTACCCACATTCAACTGATTTCAGCTCCTGTAGGTTCAGTGAAGATTTCATCTGCTGTTTGTTAATCTGACATAGAATTTTTTCTTCCATAATGTCATTTCCTGATATGGTGGTCCTAAAATTTTGTATTTTTCGTAAAAGAAAATAAAAAAAGCAGGAGGAAGAACAACTTACATCTTTTGAGGTGTAAGTGTCTTTCTGCCTCAGATCTCTATATTCCTATGCCGTGCTTACGTTTTCTCACCACTATGTTTGTTTCACAACTTACGAAGCAGCACCTCCACTATCAACTACTCTTAAAAGCCACCAGATCTTTATAGCTGACCAAATGTAAGAAAATGGTTTTTCTTTATAAGATATTATATAGTTTGTTAATTGTGAGTCATCAGTCATTATCAACCTTTAGGATATTAAGTAAAAGTTTTTGTTTTTCTCTATCTATATAAAATGTTCATATTCATGCATGCATCGAAGGGATGACAGTGAAAGAGAATCAGATGATGGTTTTCCTGTTAGAGTGCCAGTACCAGTGCCAAGCCAGAGAACTGAGGGAACTGGTCCAGAACAGAGAAGTCCTTAATTGAACTTTTAGATATTTCACAAATCAGCTATGTTGCGCGGACTCCTCATTTCAGCGCCACACCCGTGTCTACATGACACTAGTAAGGGTAAGGGTGTGAGATTCGTACCGGATGTGGTCAACCCGACATCGGATACTTTGACCACAATCCATGGACAAGTTTGAGGAAAAAAATGGGACTTTGATTTCTCAAGATAAAAGTTAGTACAAATTTGAAGACATGGGAAATGGCATAACTTCAATAGTCGACCCGTATCCGTGAAATGTGTATCCGTATCTGGATCCCCACACCAGATAATTTAGGATATTTTTATAAATCTATCTTTAGAATTTTGAATTATTTTTTGCCGAATCCCCGCACCCGTATTCGTATCTGGATCCCCTATCCCTGAATTTTAAAATTTAGATTATGAAGGATCCATCTTTGGATCCGGGCCCGGATCGGATACCCACACCCGGGTCCGAGCAAGATAGCATATCAGATTTGAATTAGAATCAAAGTTGGTTCCCAACCAAAGCTTGTAATGTTGCTCTCTATAGTACTCTTAACTACTTAGATGGATTGTGTGGCTGTATGCAGTATCTTATGTGTAGACATGGTTACCTGAATTTCCCAAAAACATAAAGGGCACTAGAGTTTCCTTATATGCTGGAGCTTTGATTGTAATTGGATCTTGACTATCATCATATTGCTCTAGAGTACTTTGATTTTCAGCAGTTGATTATAACAGTGTTGTCAAAGGCGCGCTTAAAGCGCGCTTAAGCCCTGAAGCGAGGCTCAAAACAGGTTGAGCGCTTCGCCTCGCTTTGTGGGCGCTTTAGTATCGCATCAAGGCTCTTAGGCACACTTTTACTTGCCAATGAGTGTAATCCTTAAAAGGCATCATTAAACAATTGATATTTCACTTTATCGTAAAAAAATTTCAATTTCTTTCACCGTATATTTGTTATTCATGCTTATAATTATTAGTCTTAGACTACATATACATACTTTTACTTTTTCTCCAGTTGCGCCTTTTTTCATTAAAGCCCACGCTTTATTTGCGCTTTGCGCTTAAAGCCCCAACAGACCTTAGGTGAAATTTAAGTGAAAGCAACATTTCCTTGTTTTGGGGGGGGGGGGGGGTGCAGGAAATGTTGCTTTCACTTAAATTTTCCAATTGTTATCAGGCTCGTCTTAATAGATGTTTCTATAATAAATGCAGTGAACGAGTTGCAGTTGGTCGTGCACTTGACCTTCCTGTATACTTTGGTGATGCTGGTAGCCGAGAGGTAAAGCAAATTCCTGAACTTAAGATTATCGTTTCGGGTATTTTATTTTGTCATTCTGTGTTCCGATTACTAGGTTCTACATAAAGTTGGAGCTGAAAGAGCATGTGCTGCTGCAATAACATTAGATACTCCCGGTGCAAATTACAGAACTGTTTGGGCCTTGAGCAAGTACTTTCCCAATGTGAAAACATTTGTACGTGCTCATGATGTGGATCATGGCCTCAATCTAGAAAAGGCTGGAGCAACAGCGGTATCTTTCTTATTCTAATTTCTGTTATTGATCTTTTCGTTGGAAACTTGTTCATATTTTTCACTTAGGATTCTGTATATCTCTTGATAACATTTGGATTCTGAGTCTTGAAAATTTTGTTTATTGCTGGTGTATTATGTTGTGCAATGGTAAAATTTTTTAGTTGTAACATATCATGCATAAAAGAGGAAATAGTTGCACATTTGATAGTTGGATAAATGATGAACAATGCATTGACTGAGGTGGATACAACTTTTACAGGTTGTGCCTGAGACCTTGGAACCAAGCCTGCAGTTGGCCGCTGCTGTCCTTGCACAAGTAAGTAGATTTGATAAGCAACCCTAGATATTCTGTTATGTAGCTAGTTATGAGCTGGTAAGTAATCAGTATAACCAAATTCTAATTTGAGAAGTTTCGTCCCAATACTGTAGAGTGATATGGATGATGATTCAATAGCTTATCATCATGTATCATTCTACACTCGTCCTTCAGAATGTTATAGCATATGGCTTTCTCAAGGTTTCATACAAATTCAGTGGCCTATTACCTCTTTATGTGATACAGTGATTTTAAAGCACTTCACAACTGCATAATTGCCCACAATCCCCTCCCTAAAATATTAAATTAGAGTGAATTTTTTCGAACTTTTTGTTAGAAAATGATATACCTCAAAGCTGAAATGCGTATCATGATTTATGATTGGATAGAGATTTGTTCTACTATATACTTTAACATTCTTGACGGGAAGGACCAATTGTTGGATCTTCTGATGCAATAATCTAGCTGCGCACTGCATTTTGCATCTCGACCTCCTTGTAGTTTGGTTTTGGCAATCAATAACCATCGTGAAGCAAATAAAATTATGAGTATACATTGTGTCTTCTAGGCTAAGCTGCCAATGTCAGAGATAGCGGCAACAATCAACGAGTTTAGGTCCCGCCACCTCTCTGAGCTTACTGAGGTAAATTATAATTGCACTACTTGTCTTAGCTTTTGGAATGTTGTACGAGGTTTCATAGTTCAGATTTTGTTAGATATTTTATGCAGCCCACTGGATTTTGTTTTGCAGCTATGTGAAACTAGTGGAAGTTCTCTAGGCTATGGATTTTCTCGTGTGGTGAATAAAGGCAAAGTTCAGCCTCCAGATTCTTCGGATGAGAACCAAGTCAGTGAAGGAACACTAGCAATATGATTACCATTAGAAGAAACAGGGATTTGCATTGATTGGACCCCAAAAAAAAGGAATTGAGAAGGGAAGATACTCCTTATAAGTGTATAGTGTTTTACTTGACCCCTGTTCTTGAAAATTGTACAGAAGAAATATAGTACGTAGCAAGCAACAAGCTATGCAGGAGAGCAAATCTATTGGCATGACCCAAGGGCAGCTCAAGGGGAGGCTGGTAAAGCCTTCACTTTAGGCTCCCAAAATTTTGGGGCCCTGAAATTTTTTAAGGGCAAATAGCATTTTTGATTCCTGTATTATTGTTTTATTCTGATTTTAGTCCTCAATTTAAATGCTTGATATTGCTCCTTTAACCTAAGAGATGTTAAATAATTAACCGTATTACTGTTAATTGAAGAAGTAAAGGGAGGACTTGACCCATTGCTTCAACCTGATCATCACCATTACTGATTTAGGAAAATAAACCAGGAAAAACCACCCACGTTTTGAACAAATCTATCAAAGATTTCAGTTGTGTAGACATCCACCGTGAATGTTTTCTTGGTCGCCACATTCGGCAATAGCCATACGCCCATACCTACGGAAAGCATCAAAACAACCTAGACCTGCATACATTATCGAGCAATATAGCAGGTGGTATTCACACATGGACTATTGTTAATTTGTTAAAATGAGCCCTAGGTCTGTCATTGATGAGTGATCGAAGCTTACTGAGTGGAATCTTTTAGATAGAGAGAGAAGGAGCTGGAAGGGAAAATATCTTTTTCTTATTAACAGAAGTTCAATCTTAAGAAATGATTTGTACAAGCCTATTTATATGCTAGTTAATTCTAACCTCCACTAACTTTAATATGACCAACTAACTAACAGTACAACAGTCACATAGCTCACTTAACTAATCTTCTAGAACACTACCACTTAAATAGCACAATGTACATTTACTACAAGCTATACATCTCAACACTCCCCTTGAAGTTGAGAATGAGAAAATATTTTTCATTCCCAACTTGGATAGTAGCACAGCATGTTGCTGGTGTCCCAAAGCCTTAGTCAAGATATCTGCAGGTTGCTCTTGGCTGGGAATGTATGAGGTCTTGATTAAGCCTCCTTGAATCTTCTCTCTTATGAAATGACAGTCTATTTCTATATGCTTTGTTCTCTCATGGTAAATTGGATTTGCAGCAATCTCTAGGGCAGCCTTATTGTCACAGCATAACTCCATAGGCAATTTCACACTCACTTTCAACTCCTTTAACAGACCACTTAACCAAACCAGCTTTGCAACTGTGTGTGCCATGCTCCTATACTCAGCCTCTGCTGAGCTTCTAGAGATGGTATTCTATTTCTTTGCTTTCCAGGAAATGAGTGAACTCCCGAGCTTGATGCAATACCCAGTGACTGACTTTCTGGACATGGGACAAGAAGCCCAATCCGAGTCACAATATGCTTCTATTTTTTGCTCACTTTTGCTTGACATTAGCAACCCAAGTCCTGGCTGATTCTTTATGTATCTAACCACATGTAGTGCTGCCTCATAATGTGATTTCTTAGGTGAATGCATAAATTGGCTTAGACATTGAAATGCATATGCAATGTCTGGCCTTGTTATTGTCAGGTACAATAGCTTGCCAATCAGTCCTTGAAATCTCCCGCTGTCCTCTAAAGGTTTATCATTGTCATCAGTCTTCAGACATTCATCAAACTCAGTACTTGTTAGTTTGAGGGTTTGCTCCATGGGTGTCTCTTTTGGCCTTGAACCTACCAATCCTGCATCTGAAATCATTTCTAAAGCATATTTCCTTTGGGACATAAGAATACCCTCAGTTGATCTAGAAAATTCTATCCCCAAGAAATATCTTAAGTCTCCCAGATCTTTCAACTTAAAATTCTAGTGCAGTGCAGATTTTGCTCTATGAATTTCTTCCAAATCATTCCCTGTAATAAGCAAGTCATCTACATATACAAGTATCAGCACAAATTTGTCATTCACAGTTTTGGTAAAGAGAGAATAATCATATTTGCTTTGCTTAAAATCAGCTTTCAACAAAGTTTGGGTCAATTTTAAGTTCCATTGTCTGGATGCTTGTTTCAACCCATATAGGGACTTAAGTAGCCTGCATACTTTAGTCTCCCCTTGGCTACTAAATCCTTGGGGTAGAGTCATATATACTTCCTCATCAAGATCCCCATTTAAAAAGGCATTATGAACATCCATTTGGAAAATTGGCCAATTCTGAAGAGCAGTAGTTGCAATTACAGTTCTAACAGTAGTAAGCTTAGCTATAGGGGAGAAGGTGTCATGAAAGTCTAAACCTTCTTGTTGAGTGTACCCCTTAGCTACAAGTCTAGCTTTGAACCTTTCTACAGATCCATATGCATTGTACTTTATTTTATAGACCCATTTGCAGCCTATTGGAACCTTTCCTTTAGGTAAGTCAACTACTTCCCAAGTATGGTTATCTTCTAGAGCTTCAATCTCATGCTTCATAGCCTTGATCCATATGGCTTGAGAGTAAGAGGATGGTTCTGTATCAGTAGAAAGGGTAGCAAGGAAAGACTGAAACTGAGTGGGAAGATGGGAATAGGATACAAAATGTTGAAGAGGGCAAGAGGTAGTAGGAACAATGGTTGATGGTAATGGAGGATGGACATAGTCTGTCAGCCAAATAGAAGGCTTAGTGGTCCTACCAGATCTCGTAAGAGGAGTTGTTGTTGGATTCAAAGCAACAGAAGGTGAAGAAGTAGGTGTTGCAGATTGAACTACTTCTGAAAGAGGAGTAGGTGGTGTGCCTTCTGGTAAGGAAGAAGGATCAGATAATTTAGGAGAAAGTGGTTGACTAGGAGTGGATTCAATACAGGTAGGAGGTGAAACAATTGAGTCAGGTGTAACAGGAGAATGGGAAGGGAAGTAAGAAGAGTCTGAGAAAATAGGACTAATATCAAGTCTACAAAGGAAGTAATTTCTAGGAAATTTGAATGGAAAGACATTCTCTTTGAAGATGACATCTCGACTGACTATGAATTTGTCAGCTTCAATGCCATATACTTTGTAACCTTTTTGAGTAGGAGCATATCCCATGAACACTCCTGGTATTGATTTTGGAGTGAATTTATCACTAAAATTTGGTTTTGTGGCATAACATAGACAACCTAAAGTCCTTAAATGATCAAGAGCAGGAGGACAACCATGAAACATCTCGTAAGGAGATTTTCCATGCAACACAACACTAGGAAGTCTGTTTATGTCATATGTTGCAGTCAAGATGCAATCACCCCAAAATTTTAGAGGAATATGAGCCTAGAATCTCAAGGCTCTACTCACTTCAAGTAAGTGTCTATGCTTTCTCCCCACGACTCCATTTTGCTGTGGAGTGTGGATACACCTGCTTTGATGTATGATACCCTTGGATTTGAAGAGGTTAGAACAAAGAGTATTGAAGAATTCATAGCGATTGTCTGATCTGACTATTTTTATAGTGGTGGAGAACTGATTGTTTACAAGGTTAAGAAAGTCATTCAAGATAACATACATATCACTCTTTAATCTCAAAAGGTAAATCCAAGTCATTCTTGTATAGTCATCAACAAGAGTAAGAAAATATCTGAAGCCATTGAAGGTACATACTCGATAAGGACCCCAAATGTCCATATGAACAAGTTCAAAAGCAGAAGTAGAATTAGAAGTACTGCTAGGAAAAGGCAATCTTGTTTTGTTTAGCTAAAGGAAAGACAATACAATCACAAGAATCTGTTTTTAACAAAAACTTATTTAAGGTAGGTATTTTCTCTGAATAGGGTGCATAACCAAGCCTTTAATGCCACAGAACCCTTGATTTATTCTGAACAGAGGTAGACAGACAGGTAGAGTTAGAGGGACCAACAAAAGGCGTTAAAGGGTTGAGAATGTAGAGTCCACCTTGGTATATACCAATCCCCTTCACCCTGCCACTGAAGAGGTCCTGAAAGACACAAAAATCAGGAAAAAAATGAACTGAGCTGTTTAATTCTCGTGTGTATTTGGAAACAGATAAAAGATTATATTGGAATTGAGGTACATAAAGAACGTTATATATTGTTTATGAGTTAGGCAGAGTACAAGTGTCTATGTGAGTGATTTTAGTACTATCTCCATTAGGAAAATGTACTGAGTCAGACTTAAAAGTGGGTGTATGTGTATGACTAGATAATAGATTCAAGGAAGAAGCCATATGACTTGAAGCCCCAGTATCAATAATCCAACTAGCGTGATCAGTATTCGACTTACCTGCCATATTGGCCATCACTTCTGATTCTTTTTCCTTGCTTAGCATTTTTAGAATTTGCTGATACTGTTCAACAGTAAATGTAGGAGCATTTGGGAAACACATGTTAGGCGAAACCACATTTCCTGGAGAAACATTCTGCATCTCTTCCTTGACATTCACATTATGTGCAACTGCAGTAGGATTGTCATGCACTTGCTTCTTTTTATTGTTGAATTTGAAGCCTGGGGGGTATCCTATGAGTTTGTAACAGGAGTCCCTTAGATGTCCCCTCATCTTGCGATAATCACATTGTAGATTAAAATTCTTCCTTGGCCTCATGCCAGCATTAACTGCAATTAAGTGACTATTTTCCATCTCCATAGGCGCACTACCTAGAATGCCATTATGTGTCATGAGTCCACTACTCTCTGACTTTCCTCCTGAATAAGCATCGAATATGCCTAATCGAGTGAGGGTGTAGGGTGCATCATCAGAATTTGACTCCTCTGTGGTGCATAGGTTTCGTTTAACCCTATTAAGAACTTCACAAGCTTTTGTGTATGTAGAAATTCAACAAAAGTCTTAGATTTTTCACAATCACAGTCGGGGAAAGGGATAAGTGATTCAAATTCGTCCCATAGGTCATTTAACTTTGAGAAATAGACTGACATACTAAAAATTCCTTGAGTTAAACAACTGATTTCCTTGTCCATGTGGTAAATCTTAGAAGCATTTACCTTATCGAAACGATTTTTTAGGGCTTCCTAACCTTTTTAGCATTTGATGAAAACACAATTACTCGCCTCAATTCCTTCACAACAGAGCTCATAATCCACGATTGTACTATTGCTTTGCACCTGTCCCACTGGTGTAGTTGAAATATATCTTTCTCATAATCCTCTCGCACACAGGTTCCATTAATGAAGCTGATCTTATTCTTCACTAATAGTGACATCTTCATAGATCGACTCCATTCTGAATAATTTTTTGTCCCTATCAACAGTTGCGAAACAAGTGAAACACCAGGTGTATCGGATGGATGAACATACAATGGATTATTATAATCAAGCAATTGATTGTTTGCATGTGATGTTCCAGCTGTACTTTCAGGACTATCGATGGCCATTTTGACAAAAAAAACAAAGAGCAGAGGATAAATTAGGGTTAGAAAAGGAGTGAGAACACAACGAAGAAAAAGGAGAAATGACGAATTGAAGAGGAATTTGAAGAATTTAGAGACTCATCAGCTCGAATCGCAGTGAACCGAGCTCTGATACCATGTTAAAATAAGACCTAGGTCTGCCATTGATGAGTGATGGAAGCTTACTGAATGGAATCTTCTAGATAGAGAGAGAAGGAGCTGGAAGGGAAAATATCTTTTTCTTATTAACAGAAACTCAATCTTAAGAAATGATATGTACAAGCCTATTTATATACTAGTTAATTCTAACCTCCACTAACTTTAATATGACAAACTAGCTAACAGTATAGCTGTCACATAGCTCACTTAACTAATCTTCTAGAACACTACTACATAAATAGCACAATGTACAATCACTACAAGCTATACATCTCAGCATAATTGTATTGCGGTCGGCCTTATAAGGCTCGGTATATATATAACTGCTCTGCCGTAGTAGGCTCGCTCATAGGCGCTCTGCCATACTAGGCTCTGTATCTCGTCCAACTGGGCTCGCTCATAGGCGCTCTTCCACAGTAGGCTCGGTATATATCTAACCATCTCATCAGAGGTTGCACAATAGGGTCTGCCCATATTATAGCTCGATGGTAATAAAAATATTGTAATACTGTATATATAGACTCTCTGCTCGCTTGACTGGAAGAAGGAAATACTCAATTGAATATTTTACTTACAAGACTAGGAAAAATATATGTAAATTCCGGGACATGAATTTTTCTTTATGCCTCGTTATCAAACTTGTGTAATTACGGGATCATGAAAAAATGAAGGAAGAGCTTAGCCTTAACATACCTGGAGTAGGGAAAAATGTGTATGATATTTTTGGAAAAGATTGCACCGTACTCCCTTAGAATCGCAAAATCTCACGTTGCTAAGGTGCAAAGAAATCTCGTTGAAATTTTGGTTGCTAACGTTGGAATTCTTGTAGATGTTATGAATTCTTCTTTGTTTTGTAACCTTTTCAATAAGAAATCATTATCAGATTACTACTTGAATATCTAATGTCCAAAGAAGCCAAAATGCCACCTTGGTTGCAACTATGATGGCCAACTGTGACGCCTTCCGAAGGTGTTGGTTCGTTATGTTTCTCGTCTTTTCTTTTCCGATAAGTTATCATTATCACCTCATTTATTTTTAGGCCCAGTTCGGAGGGTCATGGCCTCAATAACTCGGGGTTATTTTCATCGGTTTAAATCCAAATTTGTCATTGTAATATTCTAATCTTATCAGTCTCATCAATATGTACCGCTTCGAAATAAATCACTACAACAAAATATCACAGAACGATGGTATATCCCTAAGAACAGACAAAGCTAAGCAAAAACATTTCTTCAAAGCCAGCCCAGTCAAAAACATGCCGGAATGGAAAGTTCGCCAGGCAGTAAAAAAAATCCAATAACGTGAAGGTCGTCGGAGAAAATGGTTTCCACCAGATTCAAGGGGATTAACGGTAGAGTTAACATCTGGAGACGGCGTTACTACCACGACAATAAACACCGGAGCAACTCCAAAACGACACGCGCAAAGAGGTAGCCGAAATATTTAAATTCCGGCCAAATCTTCTAGATCTGAAATTTGTGGGTGAATCTGTAATAATCCAAAAACGTTAGTGGGGTTTGTGCTTCATATAAGCAAATCAAAACCAAAGAGAATAACAACAAATGGGCATGCTGGTTCGCTGATTTCCAGTGAGTTTTGTCGGTCGGTGCATAATAATGAAGAGAGGGACGATAATGTTGGTGAGGATATGAGACAGTATGTGAAGTCAAAGGAGGGAAAGGGGAAAGAAAAGTGGACGGCCGCCGGCCATGCTTGCTCGCCGGTGGTGGCTGCGGCGATAGAGAGATAGGATGGGTTAGCTGCCTCTTTCTTTCGGAGAGAATGAGAGCTTTTTAGATCTTTTATTTTTTGAGAGAGATGAAAGTTAAGGTTAGAGTTTTTTCCTCCCTTAAAAAAACGACGTGTTTTCCCCTCTATGTAAAATAATATATGCAAGTGTATGTATATGAGTGTGTAAGAAAAAATGTGTGACTTTTATTTAACTAAAAAATAAAGGTAATGTAAAAACAAAAAAATATGGTCAAAAGTAAAACCACCAATTGAAAATCACGGGTAAAAGCCATTGGCTGAATATCGTGTGCTTTTTATTTTATCTGTGTATGTATGTATATCAGTGTTGGGTAGTTAGCTTAGCTATTAAGCTTTAGGAAAATATTACTGTATTTACCCATTGGGTAGAGAATTTTACCCATTAGATAAAAGAAGGTCAAATCACATTGATATGACTTGTCACATCACACTATCCACATCAGATGTTGACGGAATATTGGATCTAACTGGGTTTGATCCGCATTTTAAAATAAATTCTACCGATTTCCATGTAATTAATAGATTGTGCTATGAATTGTAAGATGATTATCTAATTAGAAACTATAGCTTGCAGTATTTACTAAAAGTGCAGGTACTACAATAATATTATAGTAATTATTATTTTTATTTTTAAATGACAACAAATTGAAAGAAAATCCTAATATTTTGGGAAGTATGACAACTACCAATAAATTGCTTTAAAATTAAAAAAATACACAAAAGTGGTCGTATTTAACCAATTGCTTAAAATGATAAAAGTTTCTGTATTTTGCAAAACAAAGATAACTACCAATAAATTGTGTTAAAATTGTGGCAAAAGACTATAATTTTACCAATGACTAGGAAGCTTGCAGATGTTAATTTTTAAATATGGAGGTCCAAAATTGGGTGTCAACACACTGTATTCTGCAAGGTGACCAAGTGCTTCTCTCTTTTCTGGTAGCTCGAGTTAGCTATCACTAAATTAAAGGCTTTAGCGAATCTAGTAACGAGGTTTCGCCTTTGTTGCTACCTCCAAAACTGAAGTTGCCATGCACATCATCATAACCCTCGGAGGTGGTCCTAATGTGGCCATTGATATATCCTCCTATGAACAACGTCTTGGAGCACAAATACCATGCACCACCTTATTCAAATCCTCCCAGAAGCGTTTATTGACCTCCTCATCCTAGCCCCTTTGGGTGCGTAAGCACTAATAACATTGATAGTAAGCCTCCCAACAACCAGTTTAACAGTCTTCAACCTATCGTTCACCCTTTTAATCTCCACCACCTGTCCCCTAAGATTTCTATCAACCAAGATACCTACCCCGTTCATACACTTCAAGCCTCCCGATACCACATCTTAAACCCGTCCATATCCCTTGCCTTAGAACCCGTCCACCTAGTCTCATGGATACAAGCTATGTTGATCTTCTTCTTCTAGAGAATCTTCATTAACTCTATAGATTTTTCCATTAGAGTTCCTATGTTCCAGGATCCAGTTCTTAGCCTAGACACCCCCTTGCCCCCCGCGTCCCGCCCCATATGAGGACAAGACCTTATTCTACTATCTCTCACTAAAGGCGCTATACTTAAGGGTAAACTATCACTAGATAAAAGACTACTCTAACAGGGTAAGCTATCATTAAAGGAAATATTACGCAAAATACAACAATTCAAAACAGCTAAAAGACAATAAAGATTGGGAAGAAAACAAACAAGCATGACATGATAAAATATATGAATATAACTAAAACTATAGGCACTAATCAGGAAAAGCGATAGGCAGTCAATAAAGCAGGCCAGAACAGAACTTAAACAAGGGCACTTAGTTTCTATAACAAAGCAGCCAAATAATTATGAACCAATATGAATAGCTAAGTAATTACCAACTATATGAAACAAATTCAAACGTGCAACTACGACAGGCGAAGTAGCAACTAACAATTAGATACGAACATGCCAAAAAAATAACGAGAATTAAGCCGCTAAATAACTACAACCGGGCAAAACTGCCAAGAACAAGGAAAGAAACCAGCAATCAAAAAAGAAAGAACCCGCGAAACCGCAAATACTGAGCAAGAAAGATAGAACCTGGCTTCCAAGGTGATGCTATCCTTAAAGTAATCACTGAAACCAGTAGTCGCCGAAGGAGGACCTAGGGCACGTCAAAATGGGCTGGACGCAGATGGGTTCGGTGGACCTGAACGGGCAACCACTGGGGGGATGTTCACTCGCTGAAACTTTATCTCTAAGGGTATTCATGCTCTATCGCATATCCGAATTTTCACTAGAAAAAGCATGTGTTAGCCTTGCCCTGATATAGATCACCCATACACACCCGAATAAAGGGGAAGAAAGAGGGAGGGAGAGAGAGAAACATGGGGAATAGGTGATCGGAGACGCTATCGGCTTATGTCACCAACACTAGATTTTGGTCAGAAAGAGGTAGGATATTCGGGAGAAGAAAGCAGGCGAGGAAGAGGAGGGAAAAGTGAGACAGAAAGAGAAGCAAGAAAAAGAATGAGAGAGGGAAAGGGAAAGAGAAAAAGAAGGCGAAGAGGATTCTTACCTGATTGGCGCAACGACAATGTTGTCGCTAGGGCAGTGAAGAGGGAGAGAGAGAGTAAACCTGTGAAATAATAAAATTACTTTACACCATGGGTGATGCCATCACCCCCAAGACCTTCAAAAATCAAAATTACTACTTTGTCCCAGCAAAATCTACCTCTGTTTCAAATACAAAGTTCAAACTTCACTAGTCAAACTGCAATTAAGACCCATTGAACCACCAAAAAAAGCTAAGAACAAAAAATCATAAAATCATGCAGAAAATAACCCATAAATCACACAACTTATAGGGGAAAAACGGGATCTATCACCGACAGAGCAATATACAAACACCCAACCCCATTTTTTGTGAAATAGAAACTTTACCATAAAGATGCCAAAATCAAAATTCAAGATACAAGTATTTAAGCTAATTACCAAAACCACAAACAAAATCAACAAAATAACTGTTCAATATAAATCACCGGTAACTTCTAATTTAAGAAGAATTTAGCAAAGATTAGATGGTGACAATGGAGTCACCGGTGTAGAATGTGGCTATGTAGTAACTTTGGGAATAAACGGAAAGGAATGGGATTTGGGTAGAAAAATAATGGAAGTACAAAACACGAGAAAAGTAAGTAGGGAAGAATAAGAGAAGGGGTGTGGCGGAGGCCAACGGGGATAACGGTGTTCAGGTGGGGGACAACGCGGGATGGTAGGGGTTCAATTGGGAGTGAAGGGCCTGTTGCCTTGTTTCTCTTTTCTTTTTATTTATTAAAATAAGAAAAATAAAGAAAATAGAATAAATCTTGACACGTGGGCTCAAATAATGATTTAGACAAAATATAGGTAGGTTTTACGCGCTCAATCTTTTTGGTTAAGTACGCGAATTTGGTCTATAGTTCACCAGAAAAGAGCACGTGTTAGCCTTGCCCTGATATAGTTCACCCATACACACCTGAATAAAGGGGAAGAAAGAGGGATGGAGAGAGAGAAACAGGGGGAGTAGGTGATCGGAGACGCTGCAGGCTTATGTCACCAACACTGGATTTCGGTCAGAAAGGGGCAGGATAATCGGGAGAAGAAAGTAGGCGAGGAAGAGGAAGGAAAAGAGAGGCAGAAAGAGAAGCAAGAAGAAGAATGAGAGAGGGAAAGGGAAAGAGAAAAAGAAGGCGAAGAGGGTTCTTACCTGATTGGCGGCGCCGGTTACTATGTTGGTGGAGGGACGCAGCAATGGCGCAACGACAATGTTGCCGTTAGGGCAGTGGAGAGAGAGAGAGGAGAGAGAGAGAGAAAACCTGTAAATAATAAAGTTTATTATTTTCAATGTAGTTAACATATGATTTAAAATTTAAAATTTTAGAATAATAAGGAGAACACTAAAATCTAATTTGGAGATAGGGGCCGATGCGTCCATATTTGCTAGAGAGAAAAGTAACTATAATGCGGAGTTATTTTAAGGGTTGAAGCTTGGAGTTTTCAAATTCATTGGGTAATTTTCACGGATATTCACTTTTAGAAATGCTATTTGGATATAAATGATGTTTTTAAAGTAATTGAATAACAGTCACAACTTAAATAAGCAGGCACTTGTTATGTTTATTCTACTACTACTTTTTTGCCCAAACAAGAAAAAGAATGGATCTCATAGACAAAATTATGAAATATTATTTTTAATAGTGAGTACAAACTTTATGCATACAATTTTCTTGAAAGTCAAACTGCCATAATTAACTTAAGCACTTTTCCTCAAAGTTCAAGCAATTTTCCTGAGGTTCAGATAGTTTTCATTGATGTTCAGGAAACTGAACTACAATAATTTTCTTAAACTTTCAAAAAAGCATGTTTCTGCTGTATTTTTAAGTTGTGATTATTTTCAACTATGTTGCAAACGTGGCTATATTTTAAACAACAGCCCTAAGAGTGGCTACCTTTTAATTTGTATCATGCCTAAAACCAAGGGCTTTCTTTCGGCCCAAATCATAAAAATAAGTAGCCCAGACCAAGTAAACTCCTCGGGGCAATAGAGGTTTGTGTTTAAGCATCAAATGCCTACAGCAAAAACAGTGACATAGCATTGCATTTTTCGGCAGAAGCAAAACTGAAGAAGGTAGCTTTTCATTCGTCTGATTTTGTCTTCTAGGTTATTCCTCTTTTATCACCCATAAGTTTTGTCAACAGTTTCTTCCTATAAATTTCTTCAGTTAGGGTTTCTGTGTTAAGTGCTGATAGTAACCAATTGGGAGTAAGATTTATTTTGAGGAGCTGCATTTTGTTCTTAAAGTACTTTTTAGGAGCGTTTTTTTTTTTTTAAAAAAAAAAAAAATTCGGAATAAGATTTACTGGTTTTTTTGTTATTAATATTGGTTGATGGTAGTTGAAACAATGGCTGAAGAAGAAAATCTAAAGGAGATGAAGGGGGAGTTGCAGGATGAGGTTGCTGATGTAAGTTTATTTCTCTCTTTCTATTTTGCTGTTTGGTATTTCACTATCTTAGTAATGCACTGAGGTTTATTAGAACATTATATTAGAGGTTCTCATAGAAGATTTTCGAGTTACATTATCTTTTTTTTTTTTTTTTTTGTGATAACATAATAATTGTCTTGATTACATTGTCATGTTATTATTCTTGGCTCATCTCAATTCCCATCTTGTCAAAACTCAAAAGTGTTTTTCCTTCTGCTGGTTTCTTTAGCTATAGTGGTGGTAACTTGTGGATATCTTCAAATCTAATGGCTTTTCTTATATTTGCATTTTTTGATTCTTGGTGAGTAATGGGATGGAATAGCAGCCAATATGAGATTTTTGTGTAAAAAGATTCATGTTACCCTTAATGCTAATTTACTACTGAGGACTAGGTCTTCGTTTGGTGTGTGATGCCAGACAAAGGATAATCTGATAGGGGATGTTACAGAAAGTGTAGACATACAGCTTCTTTTTGCTGCCGCCATAAGAAGCAGCAGAAACCTTATTTTTTTTAATTTTTTAAATTTTCTATAACGTACTAGAAGGGCAAGTGGTGATGTTCGATGGGGGGTTGCAATGTATACACATCCACCAGTGTGGAGTTGAAGGTGTAGGGCTTAGTTGATACTTCTGTTTAAAGATATAAAAGAACTTTTATCTTTTCCTTGCTTTTGAGAAACGTATTAGAAGACTTTACTCCCAGCGTACACGAGGTGTTATATCCTCTAGTTGTGGACTTGATATTCAGTTGACGATTTTCTGTCATCTTCAAGTATTATAATCTCATGAGATAGAGAAGCTGATTTTTTTTTTCCGATGACTTTCTAGCTTCAATCTGTCAGTTTGGTTTCTGTAGAAGTGCCTGACTATGAAGCAAAATAAAGTAACGCCCTAGTCTAGTTTGGCTACATGAATGCTGTGTAAATTACCCTTACCGGAAAGCAAAACAAATACTAGGTAATCAATTTAATTAATATTAGGTAAATCCAACTCTTCATTGTATGTTTATGACATTCCAGGAAGACACACAAAACTAGAATCTGAAAACCGTGACTGATGTACCACTTTCCTCATTTTTTTATTATTTAAATTTTGAATGTTTTGTTTAATTGATTTAATTTGATTGGATGATTAGGATCAGGAGGGAAGCGTGCTGTGTGGGAGTGGGAGAGTGATTTCATTTTCTACTTTTTTTTCCTTCAAATGTTTTGTCCCAGAAAACACACCCTCCTTGCTCACCCCTCACAATAGATAAATAAGCAGATGGGTGGATAAGGATGTTCCATGTTCAAGTTCAATGTTTTGCTAAGATCATACTGAAACTTTTCTCTGTGCAATTACTTACTATTTCTCTATCTTCCATCTCTGTATGTACTATTCTTTTACAGATTGCTCCTTTTGATCCTACAAAAAAGAAAAAAAAGAAGAAGGTTGTAATTCAAGATCCTGCAGATGACTTGGTTGATAGCTTGGCTGAGAAAACTGAAAGTTTATCTGGTATGTTGATATCAAGAATTTCTAATGAGTCCAAATTTTTCCTCTATCTCAAGAGAGGTGATGTAGCAGTGACCATGCCAACCCTTTGCCACTCTCTTCTTTTCATACAAAGAATATACAATTCAAAGAATTAGGGCTAGTATAGAAATGGGAGGTCTTGAATTTGCTTTGTCTTTCTAATCTGTTACTATGCAGTTTCTGAGGGACTTGAGACTGCATTTTCTGGTAAAAAGAAGAAGAAGAAACCGGTTAGTTTTTTCTCTTTCCAAGGTGGAACCAATTAAATTTAGTTGTATTTTGCACCCTTCTTCCTACTTTTGTGGCATTAAGGCACTTTCTGAAAGAAACTCTTGAAATCACATAATGGCCTGGTGTCCATGAAAACAGAAGTTTTTGTTTACACTTAGAGACTATCAGATGTAGTTGTGGTTGAAGCTAGAAAAGGTGGGACTAGTGAAAGGAAATATTTTCTGATATCTTGTAATTTCATCAAGTAAAAGCGATTTGTGCTAGCATTCTTCTGTTTTTTTGTCCCCTCTTCAATATTGAAATTGACGAAAAATAGTTACTTTGGAGTTGAGCTTTATTGCTTCCACAAAAGGTTTTTGTGGAATTCCTTGAGATAGAAAACCACAGGAGTAATATTGTTGATCATTTGTCACTAAGTGTGGTACCATTTGGAATTTTTGCAGGCACACACTGACCTCCTGAACGACGAGAAGGAAAATGTGGCTGATGATGTGGATGGTAAGATTTTGTCCTACGTTTCTTGATTTGACAATTTACAACGTTTCAATGGCATCTGAGATATACTCCATTCTCTACTACTAGATCATTTTGGAGATGATGAAGAAGCTGAAGGAATTGTTCTACATCATTATCCTTGGGAAGGAAGTGATCGAGATTATGAATACGAGGAGGTGTTTGGTTGTTGCCTTGTATTCTTCTCTAAATACCTGTTTAGCAACCTAGAGGGATTTTCACAGATTACTTCTGTTCCTGCAGCTTTTGGGCAGAGTATTCAACATTCTCCGTGAGAATAATCCCGAGCTTGCTGGAGATAGGCGTAGGACAGTTATGAGGCCTCCTCAAGTCCTTCGTGAAGGAACAAAGAAAACTGTTTTTGTGAATTTCATGGATCTTTGCAAGACGTAAGATCTTTTTCTCTTGCCAAAACTTTCTTCACTTTTCCCCTTCTATTTTTAGCTTTTTGCCATTTCTTTCATTTTATCGTTGATCTTGGTGATCGTGCCTTCTTTTGTCTGTGTGTGTTTCTTTTGCCTTTCTCTTTTTGGTTTGTTCTTTCTTCAGGGGTCGTTATGTTGATTTGGTACTGTGGCTTCACAGCAGTTGGTAATTTCAACAGTTACTAAGATTTCTGTGATTTAGCATCTTCCCTGTACTTACAGTTGTATTCCCGAGGATGCATAATAAACTATGATGCAGAGTAGTTTCTGGACCTGTACAATTTGCTATGACTATAATGTTCTTTAGTTGGGTAGGGTTCGTGCAAATTCTAGCACACGGTAGGATCTTGTTTGTTTGAAACAACCCATGGTGCTCTAGATTTGTATAAAAGTTGAATGTCAGTATGGGTGGTTATTAAAACCTACCTTTGTGGGTTAACAATAAAAACAAACCTGCCCTTATGGGTTCAAAATTAAAGACATTACCAAATGATATGCAATAACTTCCGTTTGGCATTTAACTTCCTGACTTTATATTGTATTCTATACATTTTTAGAGGGAAACTACTGCTTGGATCATAAGAGTTGAAGTTAGTTCAAACATTGCATATATCATTTGCACAAAGGAAGTGTCGCGAAGGGATATAATCTTTTGGTATACCTCTACTAACTATTTACAAGTGTTTTTTGTTTTCAATCTATTTATCATAATCATACTCGATATGGAGAATAAGAACTTTGGAGGACGTAACTTACAATTGTTTGTGTAGGTACAGAGTTTGTTTAGTAAAAGCATTGGCTCATGGCTTATATTTTATTTGTGGATCAATTTGGACGCGCTTGTTGATAGTTTATGCGAAAAGTTCTTATTTATTGTAGTGTGTCAACCATGGTAGATGTCATGTGCTAGGAGCAGGTGTCATTATTTATGTGTTAGTGTATTTTCCCTCATTAAATTCTTGAGCTATTGGTGCCTATCTATAGGATGCACAGACAGCCGGAGCATGTTATGACTTTCTTGCTGGCTGAAATGGGAACAAGTGGATCACTTGATGGACAGCAAAGATTGGTTATCAAGGGAAGATTTGCTCCTAAGAACTTTGAAGGAATCTTGCGGCGCTATGTCAGTAAGTTCCTGTTGTCATTTGTGATTGGTGTGCAGTTATTGGAGGACAGTTTCTTCCCTGAACTTTCTTAAACATTGCTCTATCTATAATTGTGGTTTATTATGCACTTTAAGTTCAATTGAACTACTACAACCTGTTGTTGAGCATTCCTCTTATTTCCAGATGAGTATGTCATCTGCAATGGCTGTAAAAGTCCGGATACTATTCTTTCAAAGGAGAACCGTCTTTTCTTCCTTAGATGTGAGAAGGTATTGTACTAGAAAGCTTGTGATTTATTCTCTTACACCCATAAATGCATGAGAAAAATGAACAGATTTGTAACTTGTGTCCCCCCCCCCC